GGATTTGCAGGATTTAGGGTTTAGGGTTTGGGGTTTGGGGTTTAGGGTTTTAGGGTTTTGGCTTCAGGGTTGAGGGTTTGGGGTTCTCCTTTTAAAAGCCTTAATACGTGGATCCCAAGTATGGTCATTAAGGGGAGGGGGTTTAGTAATCACGCGTCTACAATGGTCTACATTAGTGTTTCTTCTTGGTGGTTGAACCCAGTAAGATTCTATTCCTTATACAAAATACTTCACCCCCAAAGCAGGAAGTTTACTCCAGGTTGGGTACCATAATATGCTCAAATACAATACTACTCATCTTGTCAAGCGCGAGTTTCTTAAAATGGAAGTACTTACTGCACCCGAGCTACAGGGTCTACACAAGGATTATGGGGATCTTTATGTAGGAACTGTATGAGGGAGGCTTTGCGAGAAGAAGAAAAAAGAGAATGCTTTTCTCGGTCAGCTTTTTATAGACCACTGCGGCTTTCAACTGGGCGCACGACAGCAAACATTGCCCGCACTGCAGCATCCTCCATGACAGCAAACATCGTTTGCACCGCAGCAGTTGCCACCTGACATCCGTGTACTTCCCGGATTTAGGGTTTAGGGGATCCCGAGGTTGAATCCAAGCTTCCGCATGCAAGCTGAACGTCTCGCAAAGCACATGTTCAACACCTCTTCTCTACAAGAGAAACGAAGAAATTTGCTGGAGCCGCTCTCGCAGCACTGAGTTCCATCTGCGCAGCACTGAACCCCATGACAGCCTGAGTTTGGTGCGGAAATCTCGCGACTTGTAGCAAAACAACACGTTTTAAGCCGCAGACATTGTCCCGGGTGCATACCTTATGGCAACGCGAAGGCTCTGCAAACAAGCCTTTCGATCCGTCACCAAACGCAGGTTTCGTACTTGCGCCAAGCTTGGCCGACGGGGCAAACCGAGTTTAGCACACTCTTCATGCGCCGCGCCGCAGGAATCCAGGGCGGACCTCAAGCTTGGGAGCGGCGATCATCTTCTAGGATTTTTTTGGGGGGATTGGCATCCCTCTCAAACATCTCTGGACTGTTTGCTGGTGCCATATCCTACACCAAAAAGAGATCCACCAAGGCACCCTAAAACCTGAACCCTAAACCAAGGCACTTCAAGAACTCGAGCTTCTCTTGTATCTGCGCAACCTGCGACTGCATCTCCTCTACCTGCACAGACACCTGCCGAGTTCAAGCAAGACCTCCCCGGCCATGTCATCCCTCCCACCCTATTATTGCTAGTTTTACTACTGCGATTTATCGTTACTGTTTTAACAACAACAACAACAACAACA